AGGCGTCTCTGGTAAAATTGAAATGCAGATGAATATTCCCGAACATTCCGCTAAATAAGTAAATCGGAATTCCGTTGAAACCCTAATACTTATAATAAAAATAAAAAGTTCCAGTTCTCAAAAAAAACATTTCGTAACTTCAGAAAAAAAATGTTTTAAATTATATCATTACCTCGAGTACTAAAAAGCCTACTGGGGTTATTCAACTAGAGGTCTCAATGCTCAATAAAATCAGCATTTTTATCTCTAAATTAATTTTATAATTTATTTGTGTAATATATGATTGAAACCAGTTCTCACTGGGCGGAATTTTTAAACAAGAAAAGATGCATCAGTGTTTGTTTAGTATCCATGGAGTATAAAAGCATTTAATTTTGATAATTCACATAATAGTTTCCTTTGACCAGAATATTTCATTGATTTTTTATGTGAAAGATGGATCCCATGTCAAGCTGTGACATCCGTCTTGTGTTTACATTATACCGCCCAGACACAGTACACTGCAGTAAAAAGATGCGTGTACACTTCTGAAATAACTTTTCTTGTATTATAACATTGATTGAACAGACTTTCACTTTCACGTTAAATGATGCATTCAAGCTGTGGTAAAACTTGATTAAAACGATTTATAACAAGATCGATTACACAAAAGATAAAAAAACTCAAAAGAACAGATTATTTTTGCGCTTCGCACACATTTAACTAATTGACTCATATCCTTAATTTTACAGCTCTTGGAAGTATACATTTTTAAATACACAAGAACAAGCCATTGGATATTAAAATACCGACTTGCATTGAACACTGAGCCAAATCTGCACATGAAACAACTAAAAAAATATTTTTCTCGACTTCAAACCATTAAAAAACACTTTTATTTTTTTTACACGGGGGGGGGCTAGCCCCCTGTTACCGATCCACTCTCCCAAAACCCTTGAAAAATAAAATTTGACCCCCCCCCTCTCATGTACTAGTTGTGCCATGGTTCCTGTTCCACAGTTCCTGTTTTACAGTTCCTGTTCCACAGTTCCTGTTCCACAGTTCCTGTTCCACAGTTCCTGTTCCACAGTTCCTGTTCCACAGTTCCTGTTCCACAGTTCCCGTTCCACAATTTCTGTTCCACAGTTTCTCTGTCTCGCTGCAATATTTACCTATTCTATTTCAGCTGATCACTTTACGCTCTTGAATACTTGTTCAGGATAATGACCAAAAGTTTTAAGTAATTATAGTAATAGTGTAATAAATACCGGGTAACACGATATTCTGTAAACTTGCAGTACGTTGTACATTATTAACTATCTATGTTTTTAAACTTCAACGTAAAATCCATTATTCATTCGAACTGCATTTCAAATAAAAACGTAGCAGTAATAACTTAATCCTGTTATATATATGATGACGTACAACTTAACTGCGCCTATTTCAACTGTGCTATAATACCTAATATGATAGACTTAATCATGTGATATAGATAACAATATAGGAATTTAATAACGTCTATTAGCTTTAACTTGTAACATATAAAACCTCAAATGCACAAATTGACATAGAAACTCTGTACTGTTTACTGCGAGAGAGTAATTGTTCCCTGTTCTACTAAACAGGTTGAGGATTGTCCCCTTTTAACTTGGGATCCATAGTTACAAGCTCCTGATTGATATCGATAGCTAACAAGATCACACCCAGTGGTAGTGGCATTTATAGATCTGGATTGGATTCGTGAGGTTCCCTGTTCTGCTAAACAGGTTGAGGATTGTCACTTATTATTTGGGATCGATAGTTACGAACTTCAGATTGATATCGATAGCTAACGAGATCGCGCCCAATGTTAGTAATGGATCGTATTCGTGTGGTTCTCTGTTTTGATAAACAGGCTGAGGCAGAGGATCGTGCCTTTGATTTGGCATCAATAGTTACAAAATTTTATCCGGGTTTAAACATTGATAGCTAAGTGAAACTGAACTGTATTTGGATAGATACGTGTTAGAGAGCAGTTTATGGAGTAGGGTATTTACTACAATAGGACTAATTAAACAATATGTAATTTAAATTAATTGTTTCATTAATGCGATAAAATACCGGAAAAATCTTGTTATTTAGGGCGTTAACATTTTATACTCAATCTTAATATGGTTTGTTGAGAAACTCTCATTTTTTTCTAACAGAAGGGTGGGAGGAGTGGGGGGTCAGCCCACACATCCCCCTGAACGGGGGTGTATTACGGGAAGTGTGTGGGGGGGGGGAATGACGCTTAAACTTGTTTAAGAGTACTATTTACTATAATTATGACTTGTTCTACAACTTTTTCCTTTAAATCTGGGTTTAACGAACCTCTAGATAAACTCATATAAAATGTATCATTGTTCAGACCAAGGGGCGTATATCTGATAATCTCGGGTGGGAACCCCCCCCCCCCGTAAATTTGTGTAATAATTGGGATTTAAAGGTAGTGACCGGCAATGTATGGTGGTTGAGCTAAATATGTAGTATTGTGGACAAATTTTTTAGGAACAGGTTTTGAGAAAATAAAAATTAACTCTTATCATCAAAAGTAAGTAGTCTTATTCAATTATTAGTTTCTATAATTTCTCATTTTTCACAAAGATTTTCTGCAGATTTTCTGGAATTTTCTTGAGAAGACGACATTTGAAGAATTTGTAGAAATCTGCGGACACATTCATAGAAAAAAAGAAATTCAATATAATGATGAAAACGAAATAATTGATTCTAGCATTGATTTATTGACAAATTTCTTTAAAGAAATATGTTCCTAAACATGTAATTAGTTAACTGTATAATTTTTACTTTATTTTTGTCGTCGTCATTTAATAATTTAAGAAAACCGATTCTGAAAACGTACCCACCCAAATCATAATTTTGAACGTCGACTTTGCACTCAAACTCAGTAATTATTCATCTTAGAAACTTTTTATATGTCTCAAATGAATTCTAAAAAATGTGTCCGCTATACTGGATACTCAGTTCAACCACCATACATTGCCGGTCACCCCCCTTAAGAGAAAGCAGAACTTTTATATTGTTATTTAGATTCTCATAAAAATTCTTAAGAAGTAAACATATTTTAAGTTTTAACTTGAACCAGATATATAAATAATTTTGTTTATCCAAACCCCGTTGAATTTCACGCGCATATCATTATTTTGACATTTTCTTTGTTGGAATTTGTTTCAAGCGAAAAATATTTGGTTATTAAAAATATGTCGATATGTATACCAAAAAATCCGTCTTGAAACACATAATTCAAAAAATGTTAAAAACATAAAAATGTGTTAGAAATTGAAAAGTTTAAAGCAAAAAAGGGATTTTTTAGTGGATATTTGTCCTCCAAAAAACTAGGTATTTTTTAGCCCTGGATCAAACAATTTTCAAAATAAAAAAAATCTGAAAAAAACTATTCAGTGGTTCAAGCTGAAGGCGCAACTTTAAATACCCATATCGACATGTTTCAAAAAATCAAAAATTCGACCTCCCTTAGTGATTTATGATTTTTTTAAATGCTTGCGCCGCTGACCCATTTTTCTAAAAATCAAAAAAAAAATTTAGAATGTTTTTTGTAAGTTATTTATAATCTTTATCAAAAGTCCATTTAGAAGAATAAAAATTATTTGAATTTCTAAGAACAAAACGGATAAATTTGCAATGTTAAATTAACAAGGCCTTTCAACCTCCCCTTCTTTGTACTTAATACTTTTAATGTAATTTTGTTTCAATGTCAGAAATTTTCTAATAAGTATGTTTGTAAGTGACCCTCCATGCAATTCTGATAAAGACTGGTTTACAATAGTACCCTTCAAAGCTTTGTCTGATCAAGTATAAATTATATATTCATGATTTTGTTTATTTAAGCCGTTTTGCGCCTGTTTTGCTTATAAGAAACAATGGACAAATTCACAGAAGTAAATTTTCGAGCCAACTTCCACAAGCGCGGCGGCTTGTAAAAGAAGAAAAATAATTTTTATTTTAAAATATCTTCAAATTATTCTAAAAAACCCACATCATTGCCCATCCCTAGTCATCTATAAAATAATTTTCAAGATCGCGGAAAAAATGAGATTTGTGGGGGCGGCCATACTGGAAACATGTTTCTGTCTATTCAATGATGATTGATCAGTTTTTACCAAAGTTTAAACTTTTGATTTCTTTTAGTTGGGCGTAGCAGCATAGGCAGGGGCATAGGCAGGGACATAGGCAGGGACATAGGCAGGGACATAAGCCAGGGGCATAGGCAGGGGCATAGGCAGGGACATAGGCAGGGGCATAGGCAGGGGCATAGGCAGGGACATAGGCAGGGGCATAGGCGGGGGCATAGGCAGGGACATAGGCAGGGACATAGGCGGGGGCATAGGCAGGGACATTGGCTGGAATTAATTCAGGGGGCTTTATCTTATTCAACTTTCCTAGGAAACTCTCATTTTTTTCTAACAGAAGGGTGGGAGGAGTGGGGGGTCAGCCCACACATCCCCCTGAACGGGGGTGTATTACGGGAAGTGTGTGGGGGGGGGATGATGCTTAAACTTGTTTAAGGGTACTATTTATTATAATTATGACTTGTTCTACAACTTCTATGCAGAATGGATATACTGGATAAATTTTCATTAAGCTCTTAAATAAAAATTTGACTTTAATAGTCGTCTTTCTTATTCTACAATTTTTTTTGGGTCCCAATGTAAGTAAGTATTACCTCTTATATCCGTAGTTGATATCA